GTATCATTCTCTTTCCACCTGGAGAAATTAAAAATTCATTTGGATTTTTATAAACTATCTTCATAGTAGTCAGGCTCTTCCTATAAACTCAGCTTCTCTGAAGAGTGATGAATAATTTGATTGGCAATAGATACAATATGAATAGCTAGGTTATAGATCCATTTTGGTTTGGTCAGTAACATTAATGTGGTTTTTCTGAATCAGAGTACTGAACATAATCTGAAATTGAAGGCAAATATACTCATAGGGCTACTCAGCAATAGAGATACATACTAAAAACTGTGTCCCTCTGCAACTTTGTTACTGGGCAAGCTCATAAATTATACTTACATAAACCTATATGATATAAATTCCTATATACCTAGGCTGTATATACCATGTTATAGGTAATTTGTTATTGACCTAAACGTCATCATTCAGTGCATGTTTATATCTCAACTGATGTCTTCACCAATTAGACAACTAATTTACAAAAGTAGTACTGCATATGGGTATTTATAGTATTTGTTGTTAAAACTCCAAAACTCTCTGATATCATAACCCAACACTGACTCTCTTCTGCATCTATAACATCTAGATGTGGGACTCTGTACATATTTCACATCTTAGGCTGCCACACAGCATCATACATTTTCTGTGGCCTGAAAGGTGCAATTGATTGCTTTCAGATGTTGAGTGATAGAAGATCATCAAAAAGCAAATTGATCATGACTACTTTCCCCAGAAATAGAGGTAATCATTGAATGAGGTTGTCTTTTCCAGAGGGAGCTTGAAGAATGGAAACAATTTCAGAATTCAAGCATCAGATGAATAATGCTAAAAATAATTCCAGTTGACTTAATCTTAAGCAATTAATCACAATTAAAAAGTTTGCTGTCATTATGTATTTAACCAATGGTTCTGAATTTCTACATACCTTCCTATCTTTATTTTTACCACATAATTAATTGGGTAATTTTTTTCTAGGTATCTCTTCTAAGAATCTGAGATTGTTAAGTGGTCTCAGGAATCAAAGTTGTCTAAAAAGCAATTCTTATTTTAAGAAGTTAATAACTAAAACAGGGATGTGATGAATTATTGTACATGATTTTAATAACAATTACTACACCACCACCATTAGCATAATGTTGCTATCATTCATTCATTTGATTGTCATTCAGTCAATGATATTTTATGATCTGAGAAATAAGTGTGTGAGGTGATAGGAACATAGAAAAGAACAAAATGAACTAGGTTACTAAAATTGTGAGGTTCCCGAAGCAAATAAAATGAACATTTAAAGAGATTACTGTATATTATTAATATGAATGTCAAATAAAACATATGTATGGTATACTCCAAATATATATGAATATTATGGAATATTTATTATACAACATATAATGAATAAAATAAAGCTGAATGCAAATATAGAAGGAGACAAGACCTCTTATGTTAGAAAAATAGTCAGACAAGACTTCCCTGAGACAGGAGCACTAGGGAGGAGCCTTGAATGATGAAAAAGAGTGACTCTCACCAAGTATATTGAAGGAGAACAAAGAACTTAACACGTAGTGAACTTTCTTATTGCATACTGTGGTATGAACTTTATATGACTTTAATCCTCACAATATTTAAAAATAATATTCCAGTTACTCAGATTTTTTTTAATAAAGCAAACTGAGGCTTAGAAGTATCTTTGCAATCTTACAGCTATTAAATAGCAGAGTGGGATCATACCTATTGTTAACAATGGACTTTCAGGAAGAAAAATCATGTCTGGCTTACATAATTGGGAGAGACTCCCAGGGAAAGAGACACATTAGCAGAATGTGGAATGATTGACAAGGTCAATAATTAGATGTATATGAAAAATGTATTGGTTTTTGTCACTGTGAGAAAATATCTAAGTGAACAACATATAAGATGGACAGGTTTATTTTGGTTCATGGTTTCAGAGCCTTCAGTTTAAAACCACTTTTTACTAATGTCTTTGGGCCTGTGGCTAAGTACATCATGGTGGGGATCATGTGGCAGAGGAAATAGATTGCCAAGAAGGGGCTGGGCATGCCTCCAGTGACCTAACTTCCTTCCACTAGGCTCCACCTCTTAAAGGTCCTACCACCTTCCAATAGTACCACATAGGCAGTCAATCAAGCCTTTAACATATGGGCCTTTGGGGGAATTCAAGATGTAGACTATAACAAAAAGGACTGGATGAAACCAAATTAGAAATGGAATGGTAATGTGAATGTCATTTGAAGCTCCTGAAGCAAATCTAGGGAATGGTAATCAGACAGTATGGGGTTACAAGTTCTTTCTCCAAAGGAGACAATGCTGAAGTTTAGATAAAGACAATTACTTGTCTAGACTCACACATTTGTGTTTGATCATTTACATGGGGTGAAATGTAAAAGGACTTTAGAGAATAAAGTCACATAATGAAAGCGTGCTTTTGAAATATTATTGTAGTATACAATGTAAGAGGATGGAAATGACAGAATCATTCTGAGAGATCAGCAAGTCAGCAGTCATTAAACAGGGACTTCTATATGCTGTGGCCATTTATGAGTCATTTTAGAGAAGCCATTCATTTTTATGCAAATCACTTATGAACAGAAAAATTCTTCTCATTCAAACACATCTTCTTATTTTTAAAATGATATACTTCCATAGGTGGCTATGACTGTGAAAATATTAATTTATTTGAAAGAATTACTGAATTTAGAGTATCATTGTAAATTTTCTAAGGTATTGTGCCAATATATGGTTCCAAATAATTCATTAATTTATGGATTTATTAATTTACTTATTTGAGAAATATTTATCTTTAGACATAGAATATTATATTAGTTAACATTATGGTCTTTGTAGCCAGACTTTATGGACAGGACCCCTATCTCTCCCATTTATTAACTATAAGCAGATAGTAATTAATGTTTCTAAATCCCATTTTTTCTCATTTGCAAGTCTGTCAAAATAATAGTAATCTCACAAGATTATTTTGAGGATTATGTGATATTATGAATATGAAATACTTAGTAAAATGCCAGGCATACAGTAAGATATCTAAATCCCTGTGTTAGACAATGTTTCAGACATTACATGGTATTATCATGTTCCAACACTGGAAGACACAGTCAGAAGTCATTTCTCTGCAGGTTTATCTGTAGTTAGAGTGGTAGTGCATAAAGATCAAAATCAGTAGATTAGAATCTGTGATTTCCTCCTGATTCTTTTACTGGAATGAAAAGTCTGTTATAATTGCTAAATTCCTATTATTTTTCCTTGAACTGTGAAACAATAGAACTTGTTTAGAATTACTAAGAAAGTGTTTACTGTTCTTGGCTTAGATGCCCACGTGATATTGGTTCCTGCCCCTCTTTTACTCTCTTAGATCTTAATCAGTGTGTCACCATCTTCAGAGCCATTGGTGACTTTGATTCACAGCTGCAACCCTCCTACTTTTTTTTGGCTTCCAAGGATCCTTGACATAGGGTGTTACTGTGGGGAGTCAAGGAGAATCAAGCACACACCTTCTGATGAAGGAACTCAAAAGTTTCTGCAAGAATTCCTCATTCCAGATAAGGGTATATGATCATAAGACAACTGTGGCTTGACATGAAGTTGCTACTCTAAACCTAAGAATTTGGGAAAACCACTTTCTTTATTTGTATGGAAAATATGAATGAAAATTATAAACAAAGTACAAGAGGAGTAGAGGTGTTAGAAAATAAACATTATTTGAAATTAGGTGTAGAGTGAGTCATTAAAAAAAATAACAATGCAATTGACCTTTACTAGATTTAGTTCATCAGAATGAAAGACAAACTGTGGTTGATGAGAGAAGGGGGACCACAAACAAAAACTCCCCTGCTCAGATTCTTCTTGTTTTATTGAATTATTTCAATTTCATCTTTATGACAGAATTCAATGCCAAAATCACTAGGTGAAAACTGGCAACAATGTTGTAATCTGTGAGTCACAGGAAGACATTTACAAACTATTAAAATGTTTCTATCCTGTTAATCTTAGTTTAAATCAAAGCTGTTCTGTGGCTTCTTGTATGATTAATGCACACATAGTGAACTAAACACCTTCATGTTTTTCCCAGAATGAAGTAAGCTACTTCTAATTAAAGAAAATTTTGCCTGGAAAGGATGTAGAGTTTGGGGAATGGAGTAGGAAGAAAAATATGAAATACTCATTGTTTTTAAACAATATTGAAAAAAAAACCTGGCATTCATATTAAATCAATGTTGTCCATGCTTTGCTTTGGCGAACTGTGGTTATATATTTCCTTTCAACAGAATAGAGCAGAGATCCATTGAAAAATGAAAATCCTTATTGCATACATTGTGAGAGGTATTCAAGTTTATCTTTCTCCATCCATCTTACCTCCTTGCCAATATCATGTGTATTGCCCGCTGAGACAACAGCATCAGTATTGATAGAGAAGCACTTATTTAAACTAGTTACTATGTCTTGTTGGTTTTTTATGAATGGTGGGGATGTTTAAAAAGAACCTGCTGTGTTGATCAATGAGCACGGTTGTGCTGTGAGGAGCATTTGGGGTGATTTTCCCATTTCTAATCTTTTCCCCTGTCCACTTAGAAAAGTAGTTGACTGTGCTTCAAAAACCGTCATATGTAAATCTTTATTGTGGGTTTCATTGTAGTATGGATAAATGTAAATTGACTCACTTTATTTCCATAATTATTTTGCAGAATATTTTGGCTATCATCCTGGTGTTTACAGTCAATTCATTCAAACACCAGATATATTTTCGACAGCAGGCATAAAGTTCTGCTGGGTTATCTTCAGAGAAATCCGATTGGCCCCCAAAAGATAGCCATTTATAATATATGCACCTTTGAATAATTAAATGAGTTACCGAAGAGGAAATGGATTCTAATCAGCACTCAAACTGTGATTGTGCCATGCACTGAATCATTCCTTTATGAATATATTTCTCTTGGAGCATGTATAATTATGAAACTTCTTTTTTTCTATCTCGGTAGGAACTGGGAAGTAACAGCCCTCCACAGAGAAACTGGAAGGGAATTGCTATTGCCCTGCTGGTGATTTTAGTTGTATGCTCACTCATCACTATGTCAGTCATCCTCTTAACCCCAGGTAATCTGTCTTTATTCCTCTCTTATGATGGTATTGTGGATAATAATTTCACATTCAAATGCCTTAAGAGGGTAGCAATATGTGGTATCTGAGGACACATTAGCATTGGTTGGATTTTTTTTAAAAAGCATAATCAGACATTTTGCAAATGGCACAGTAATTTTGAAGTTCAAATATCATGCAGACTTTTTTGGAAACTGAAAATGTAAAATATATAAATTGAGAATGCCAAGGAGGTCTTTAGTCTCCGTTGCTACTTAGAGAATTATTATGTTTGTCAGTTTGCTAAACGTATGAGACATTTGACTTTTAGTGTGGGTTGAAGATGAGGGAGTGGGGTCTATAAATGTCTGTCTGTGGATAATAACCCATTTTTTTTTAGAAATGGAAAGAGAGGATTTGACAAATAGAATATCAAACTTTTAAAAAGTAACAATTTACTTCTCTAAATGCAGGTATCTCTGTATCTCTTCCTCTGTCTTCTTTTTCTTTTTTTCTTTTTTTCCTGAAGGTTTTAAATTCTGTGTTTTATCCCTACTAAAGAATTTCTCTAAATTGCCCTTGCAATGATCTTTGGACTGTGTTCTTCAGATTAAAGAGTTTAACATGAAAATAGAAGTTATGAATCGACTTAATTCTTCCATGGGTACTATTTCAAATCACAAGAGTTTTACTACTATTTAATAGGTGTTAACAAGGAAGGCAGAGATAAAGTCCCTGAACTGTCTTCCAGAAACAGATAAATCTGGCAGATTGCTATGACCTACCCAATTGCCTTCCTCAAAGATTCAATGTCCACATATGGTTCAGTATTATGAAAAACAGTCATTTCCACAATAAGATTGATCTACTCCAAAAATTAACTGATAGTTTAAAATTTTAGCTTGTTGTTGAATGCTGTTTATTTACACCTCAGTTCCTGGCTTTGTTATTATATAAGCTCCTTAAACACATTGTACGTATTTTCCGAAGTACAAAATGTGATTAACAACAGCTCTTTTTCAGAGTCATTTAGTCAAGTAATTACAGTGACTAATTATACAAATGGCAGTTATCGATTGTTCCAATGTGGTGCTTGGTGAAATATTTCATCTTTGTAAAAATATTGGCTTTGAAATATATAAACTGCCAAAAATGTAGCTTGTCATTTTTATTTAACATATGAGGAGACTCAGAAAGGACTTACGGGAGCCAAGAGGGAGGAATGAGGAGAGAAAGGTAATTGAAAAAAGAAGAAATAAAGAAAATTTCCTGGTAAGAGCTGGCTTATCCAGCATTCTCTTCAGGAACCTTCTCTTAACTGCCTCATTTGTACATCTGTGGTACAATGTAATTCAGCAATGCAGTGGCTCCAAGTTGCTACAGAATGCCAAGAATCTTTGCTAAAGGAAGATGAGCTTATGTTCAGATGGTGTTTCACTTAAACATAGGAATTTTAGCATAATTACACAAAATGAATGGCTTGGTTTTGCTGCCTTGTGTTGGTGGCTATTAAACAGATGGAAGGTATTGGTGCCATCATTCCTGAGTATTTCTCTAGAACTCCTGTCTTCAAACCTTATTCTAGTATCCATATCCCAGTATATCAATCTCATATTTTCTTGTGTTTTGTTGGGTGAGACACTGGGGGTCCCTGAAAATTTGGAATAACAAGTATACCATAGACATGGCTACTTATAAAATTAAACTTGATCTACCCAGCCTTTTCCATTTTCCACAAGTATAAAACCACAGTATGATTATATGCATTTTTTCCATGCACTTGTTCATGTATTAAAGCTTAGAGCAAGATAAATTCTAGATAGAGTTCCAGCTCTGTAATTAACAAGTTTTTTTTTTTAAATTTGGCAAATTGTTTAACTTTTTATTTTATTTTTTTACATGATTGGAGCACAACTTTTTCATTTTTGGTTGTGCATGATGTAGACCTACACCATTCATGTGATCATACCTATACACAGGGATAATAATTAATAATGTCCATCTCATTCTGTCATCTCCCCCCAACACATACTACCCTCTCCTCCCCTCTCTCCCTTCCCTCCCTTCTGCTCCATCCAAAGTTCCTCCATTTTTCCTTTGGCCCCAGCCCATTATGGATCAGTATCCACTTATCAGAGAAAACATTTGACCTTTGGTGTCTTGGCAATTGGGTTACATCAGAAATATTTAACTTTGCTTCTCATTTATTCATCTGTATTATTGGCATGTTATATAGTGCCAACTTTATTATTATGAGCATTAAGTAAGATAATATTGTTCAACTATTTATTATACCTAGCACTACTGTTACTATTCCTCTGATTATCCCTATTTTCATTACTTACTTATGTCAAACATAGTTGTGCTATTGTGCTACATGAAGGATATTTTCCAGAAAAAAAATATAAATTCTCTCAAGAAGATAGATCTTCTTCAAATTGAATTTTAAGTTATAACAAAAAAGAATGACTAAATGCCTAATCCCGAATTAATCTTATAGTGGTCTGATTGTTTTTTCATTTGTTTATCCATTCATTCATCTAATAGATAAATGTGGAGATCTTCCATGTTTTAAGTCCTGTGGTTTTACCCTGCACTACTACTTTTTCATATCTTTCTTCTCCAATCCTTTCTTCTGCAGTCACAAAATATACAAATCTAGAAAACCCATGTACCCCAAATCCAAAGACTTCATTTTATATTACATTAGTCATCCAAATAAAAGTGGAAATTATTACTGAGATTTATAGTTTACCTAGAGCATTTTGCATATCCAAATGTTAATTGATTTCACTGCTATTTTGGGCAGGGATATTATGAAAAAAATATTAAGCTGGAGTGGAAAAACTATAGGTATAGGAAACAGACACCTGTGTTCTCCACCATCTGTTTGTAAAACTCATTGCCACCAGGGAATTGGATGATTACATAAATAGATGAAAATGGGTAGGTGACACGGGTTAGAAACTCATTGACCTGGGATCTAGTATGATGCCAGCCAAGTTACATAGCCTCTGTGTGGGCACAAACAAAACACGTTCAAGTAATATGTATAACCAGAGTATCTACAGGTTGATGCCTAAGATTTGAGCCATAAGCCTGGAAGTATACTTAGAAGTTATCTAGTCTTTTTACCCTCATTGCCCAGAAAACAAACAAACAAAAAAACCCTGAGTTTAACTTTTAATATTTTTCCATATTTTTATGGGGTGCATTATAATTGCACATAATGGAGGATTTTCTGTAAAACCTATTGATCTTTTGTTTTTGAGTATGAAAATGTCCATTGAGGCTGCTAATTTACACTTTTGAAATAGCCTTGTATGGAGTCGTGCATGCCTGTGGTTAGATTCTGGTTCTTTAATTGCATCTAGCCATCCTTTCTTCTCAGACTCGTGGTCCTTCAACTATACTAGAATAGACCCACAAGGGAAAACACAGGCTAAAAAGATAATTGCACTCTTCCCTTTTAATCTTTTATACTAGTATGAGCTTGAAGTCCAGCTATCTAGTTAAAACCATCAAACATATGGAGGTTTTCAACCAGGAAGGGAAATATGTCAGGAGGGGAAACTCCTGATACAATATTATTCAGCAAACTATACCTTTGTGTTCTAGAACTGACTCTAGAACAACTTTTCCAATATATGTGCAAATCAGAAATTCATATGACTTGTGTACCTACATAATCTTGATCAAATCACATATTATCTTCTTTGCTATCAAACATGTTGGTCTGTTTTTCTTTTTTGTTAACATATACCTGAGATAATTAACTTACAAAGTTTACTTTTGCTCACAGTTTTGGAGCTCCTGCCCAGGATTGGCAGACCCATTTCTTTTTGGCCTCTGGTGACAGGGCAGCACATCATAATGGGGCTGCATGGCATATACAGTTAGGATGTGAAAGAGGAGGAAAGCAAGGTTTTACAGTCCCTCCATGGACTTGTGCCTGCTGACATAAATACTCCCACTAGGCCCCACCTTTTGAAGTTTTTACCACCCCTTGATTGTAGCGAACTAGAGACCAAAATTTTAACCCATGATGTTAGAAGAATATTCCAGCTTCAAACAATAGCTTCTGTATTTCATTGAAGTAAAGGATATCTGGTTTGCTAGACAATGCAGTGATCTCTGGAATTTTCTTAAAGCTTTCATGCCCCTGATCTAATATGATAGGGCTGACAATGATCATAGTAATTTGCTTACCAACAAATAACAACAAATTAAACCCAGTATTCTTTTTTGCTAAGTCTTTTCCACCTTCAAAATATATGTCATTTTTTTGAAAGATGAAAGCATACAAAAGATATGGAGTCTGAGAATAATTTAGAAACTGTTTTGCTCAAAGTAGTGTCACAGTTTTAGGTAAGTGCTGAGGAATGCAAGCCTATAACCAGAGAGACACATGTTCATTGTAATTTTGGTTTGATTACAAATTTTATTACAGAAGCAATTTGACACAGGTGCCTTAATTTCAAAAATTGTTAGCATCTTCTGGGCTTTATGAAGAGAGGTCTTGATTATTTTTGAAGAGTGGGTTAACCATTCAATTATTTCCTTTAATAAGTAACAATTTCTGAAAAAATCAACTATTTACACCATTTTTATTAAAGGACAGACATTTAGATATGTTAATCAAACCTACATATTCTTAGCTAGTATTGAGTTTATTTAATGAAAAAATATATGCACCCTTATTTTCAGAATATGATGATTACATGATCCATAATTGTCTTCTACACATATATGAGAAGACAGTCATACTTAAAGTTGTGGAAACATGTCTAATGTTACTGTGCACTTACTTTGCATCTTTATTTTATGCTTAGTATGTAGAATGAAACTGACCATCTGAAAAATGTTTATGCAGAATACAGTTTCCTATTTTGATCTGATGGGAAAATGAAATTGCATATTTTAGGAGTTAGAATATGTTTTGTGAAGAGTATTCATTAAGTTGTTTAATTTGTCTGTCCTGTTAAAATAACACCCTGTAAGCTGTTTATGCATCAAAG